AGTTTAAATAGATAGCTTCCTAGTTAGGCTATAGGTATGATAGCTAGTGTAGAACCCTTAGCATAGCACTAACGCTTTGGGCGGACTACTTAAATAGGCAACCAAAAGTTATACGTGTGACTAGTTGTACTCTCGTTATATTGATGTAATATGTAAGCCAGTCTTCGGACAATGGCCACCTGTTTGAACTAATAAAGTGCCAGGGGCCTAAGTAGTTACCTCAATATTAAAAAAATATATATATATTTTTATACTGAATTAAAATATTTACTAATATAATAAATTTAGATATTACTTATTTTAAATATAAATAATGTTGTCTATATATAAGAATTTTTTTTTTAAAAAAAAAATTCAAACTTATAATCAACTTATAATTATTGTGTTTTCAAAATAATATACACTAGTGTTAAATATGTTACACTACATTTCATACAGATTTTTTTTATAAAGAAATTAGAATTTATACTTTTTCATGTTGGATAGTTTGCCAAAGTCTTTATCAATGTAAAAGAAAAAACAAACAAAAAACAAACAAAGAACAAACAAAAAAATAAATATTATTATCAGTACTAATAAGGTTAATAAGGCAGTTAAAGTTAGAAGTCATGTTCAAAGAACTTCATATAAAGTATCTGAAAAACTTACTGTTATTCAAAAAGCAGAAAAAATTAGTGTTTTGGCTATAGTATATCACTTTTGTATAGACCAGTAATGGTATTACGATAGACATGTTATAAAAAAAAATATATTAATGCTTCAGCAAGTAACCGACGTATAAGTGCTAGAAGAGTTTCATTTTATCTAGCTGCTAAAAAAGAACTTGTTAAATAGTTAAATAATCTCCGCCAAGCAGGAATTGCTATAACAGTAGCTGCTATCAAAATGCAAATGGTTAATATTCTTACAACAACTTGTGCAAACAAATATCCAGGTGCTACCAAACAATTTCATACTTCAAAATCCTGGTTTTATCGGTTTTTAAAATGATATTAACTTTCATTTTGCTATTGTACCAAAATTAGTCAGAAGCTACCTAAAGATCTTATTGAAAAAGTCCTTGAATTTCATAAATTTATAATTAGATTTCAATTAGAATACCAGTATGATCTTTCTTAAATTATTAATATGAATGAAATGCCAGTTTATTTTGACATGGCAGGTTCTTATATGATTAATGCAAAGGGTGCTAAAACTGTTCAAATTAAAACAACTGGTAGTAATAAAAACTAGTTTACTTGTGTTTTAGCAATTACAGCAAGTGATAACAAGTTTCTCCTGATAGTAAATTTTAAAGATATATAAATTCCTCTCAATCTTCCTAATGAAATTATTGTTTGTATGTATAAAAAAGCTTGGATAAATGAAAATTTAATGTGTGAATGAATAGACCAAGTTTTAAACAAGCGATCTGATATATCAAAAACAAACAAATCTTTATCTTTGCTCATAATAGATTCATTTGAAGGACACAAAACCCAAATGGTATATTAAAAATGTCAAGTTAATAATATCCACAAAGCTATTATCTCAGAGGGTTTAACATCAATTGTACAACTTTTAGATATGTGCATTAATAAACAATTTAAAGATAGGCTCAGAGAAAAGTGACGATTATGAATGTGCAGTAGTGAATTTTAATTAACCAAAAATGGAAATTTAAAAAACCATTATATAGCTTAATTTGTTAGTGGATTTTAGAAATATGGAATAATATTCCTATAGAAATGATTATTAAATCATTTAAAAAATGTAGTATTTCTAATAAATTAAATGATACTGAGGATAATTTATTATATAATTCAGATATTGATTATAATGAAATAAATAATAATGAAGATTTAATTGAGATAGTTGAGGAGGATAGTTTATTTGCTAAAGAATTAGAGTTAGAAGATTAAAAATAGTTTTTTTGTAATATGTAATAAATTTATGGATTTTAAAAAATGGTGCACCTGCACCATGGTGCACCTAGCTATATTTCAAAATTTTACTAAGGTAACCCTGTTGTGTGACTAATAAAAAATAATCATTATACAATTTTATCTAACCCTAACCTAAACCCTAACCCTAACCCTAACTCTAACTAATCATAACTTTATTTAAAATTTGCAATATCTCAAAATTTTACTAGGGTAACCTCGTGTCGCATAACTAAGTAAAAATGTTCCTCTCGCAATTTTATCTAACCCTAACCTAAACCCTAACCCTAACCCTAACTAATATTAACTTAAGAATTTGCTAGAGGGTGCACCATGGTGCACGGTGCACTAAAATATAAATTTCTAAATTTATATACTAGTATAATAAATTTTAGAGTAATTATAGATGTACCCATAGGGTACATCTATAATTTGTGTACCCATTATTTTGATTACACAAATGTATCGGAGTTGTCAGGGCTCGTCATACATACGACACTATAATATACAAAAATAGTAATGGCGATATTGTTTGCCGAGTTTATTCTAACGTATGCATAATATAAATATAAGTTCGATCATGTGTAATCGACCCTCTTTCGCTTGAATGCAAAATGTCGTTATTCATTAGTTTGGTATACACGGGTTAGTTTTATTTTACAAACCTGCTTTTTTAATTTGCTTGTGCATTTTTTCGTTTCTTGTTGGACGTGCTCTTTTTGCTTTACATTAAATAATTTCTATTACAAATCGAGACTTTTGTTTTGGGCCAGAAAGTTTAAAAACACCTTTTTATATCTAACTAACGAACCTGATCATTCTTTATCCTTTTTTCAGATTCTAAAAACTAGTCAAAAATTGGTTTATTAGAGCTTCTTTTATACAGTAAAAATGGAAAGCGAAGAACTTTTTGGAGAGCTGTTTTCAAATATTGCAGTATAGTAAGCCTAGCCTTCTTTAAAATTGATTTTTTATTCATAACACTTTCAATACTTTTCTAAATACCTTCTAATTAAACATCAAATATTAGTGATGATAATATAACCGGATCTTTTGAAGAGCTGTTTTCAAATATTGCAGTACAGTAAGCCTAGCTTTCTTTAAAATTAGTTTTTTTATTCATAACCTTCTAATTAAACATAAATATTAGTGACAATAATGCAATCGGATCTTTTGAAGATCTATTTTCAAAAATTGCAGTGTGGTAAGTCTAGTCTTTTTTGAATTTAGTTTTTTATTCGTAACATTTTCAAAACTCTTTTAATACTTTTAATTAAACATCAATTTTAAGCAATAATAATGCAACCGGGCTATATGAAGAAAATTTTTCAGATACTTTAATACAGTAAATCTAGCCTTCTTTGAGTTGTTTTTATTTATAATACTTCAAAATACTCTTCTAATACCTTCTAATTTAAACATCAAATATTAGCGACGATAATTCAACCGGACCATTTGAGTCAGATATTGCAGTATAGTAAGTCTGGCTTTTGAATTTTGTTTTTTGTTTATAACACTTTCAAATACTTCTCTAAATATCTTCTTATTAACTTCAAATAATAAGTGACAATAGTTCAAATAAAACAATAAATGCACCATTTGCTGGACAAGAGTTTTGTAGTTGGGATGATCTTGATCGTTTTATATTATTTTACACAAAATCACAAAATTTTGTGAGTGTCATATGTGGATCAGAATACAGTGACAGAATTTGTAGAAATCGTCAATATGCTTGTGAACATCAAGGTCATAGTAGTACGAACAAGATTAGTATTGCTAAAAATCAACGGAAACACGTAGCAAACGTATTGGATGTCGGTGGCAAGTTCAAGCTAGTTGTCCCAAGACAACGGGCATATTAAAGATTAATTCTGTTTGCTTAAACCACAACGATCATCCGATAACAAATGAAACTAATAAGTTTGCTTTGAAATACCGGGTATTTTCTGAATATATGTTAAAAGATATTAAATTTTAGACTGAAGTTGGAAATATCAATATGAGAACACAATATCAAATGTTAGTAAAACAATATCCAGATGTTTTCTTTTTGCCTCAGGACCTTTCAAATGCCATCCAAACTTTTAAATAGCAAAATCATGTCGATTGTGAGGCAGCCACCTTACTCAATAACCTTCTAGAACGTAAAGCTGAAGATAATAGATGAGTCGTAAATTGGAGGGTTGATTCTGCCAATAATTCACTTACTGCATTATTTTGAATATCACCTAACCAATATGAATTGTATATACGTTATTGGGATGTTCTTCAACATGACAATACTTATTCAACCAACCGTTTTAAAATGGCACTTGGTTTTTTTGTGGTAGTAGATAATAATAATCGGTCTCGTTTAGTAGGGCAAGCCCTTATGAGTAATGAAACAGTTGAAAGCTATGAATGGGTTCTACAAGCTTTAGTTACAAGTACTGACGTCACACTCTCAACAATTATAACAGACAATGATCTTGCTGTTAATGCCGTAATAGCCAACGTCCTGCCTAATACGTATCATATTTATTGTATATTTTATATGCAACAGGACTTAATAAAAAATTTGAAAGGCAAATTAGGTGATAGATATGATGAATTTTCTAAAAACTGGTTTCAAATACGTAATTCACTTTCAATTCAACAGTTTGATTCTTTGTGGAATAAGCTTTTAATAAAATTCTCTAATGCTGCAACATATCTCAATTGTGCTCTCCTTAATGAAAAAAAATATTGGGCTTTATGTTATGTTTCTAAGATATTCACTGCTAGAATGCAGTCAACACAGCGTGTTGAAGGCCAAAATGCTATTATAAAGAGTTCTGTGAATAGTAGTTCATCATTAATTAATCTTGCGAAACATATTGATGAACAAATTAGTCGTACATCCACTTTTGTTCAATATAAAAACTGGATTTATTCTGTTACGGGATCTATACTTACTTATGCTAGTTTCGAATTTTCGCCTGATATCGATAAATGGATTGCCTCCTATTTAACACCAGCTTCCTTATCTATGCAGTGGCAAGAGATTTCTCAAGCCATATGGTATACATCGCGTCTTATTGATAATTTTCAAGAATTAGGATTACAGTTTGATGAACAATCTGACTTAACCAACCAATTTGATTCTGTTGAACAATTGGAACAATCTAATTCAAATGAGAGTTATAATTCATTTGTTGAAGATTTTGTGTATGCAGGTCTATATGGAATACACTCCTCAACTTTATTAAATCTTATAATCTAAATATCACCTTTCATAAAGTTAAAGCACAC